TTAATAGTATGACCATCAACAGAAAAATTTTGATTATCGTTGTCTTTGTCAACATTTCTCGGGTTGATCGTTAATAGCTGGAACTTTTCTGGGTTGGTTGAGAGATAGTTGTTCTTGTACCAGGATAGAGCTTTCTCTCCATGTATCTTGATACTTTGCGCGACAACGTCATGCTTCTTCCCCGTGACATACATCTGATGGTCGTCGGCATACATGCTCAAATTAGCATTATTTATATGAAATGACATATCATTTTGGAACAAATTCCACAGAAGGGGGCCAAAGGACGAGCCTTGCGGGCAGCCAAGCACCATCCTTTTCCAGTCACTTGTCACTCCTTTTATTTTCACTCTATTGAGCCTATTGTCAAAGTATGATCTAAGAAGGTTGAGAGAATTTTGTCCAATGCCATAGGCCTCGAGTTTCTTTACGATTAGAGAATGGCTAAGAGAGTCAAAGGCTTTACTCAAGTCAGTAGACAGTATGTACACCAGTTCCTTTCTGTCAACAGCTGATTTCCAGTCTTCCACGAGTCTAAGTAGAGTGGTCTGACAGCTATGATGTCTTCTATAAGCTGTCATTCTCTGATAGAGAGTTGGATCATAGTGCCCGGTGATTTGCTTACTGAGCATATGCTCAAATGTCTTATTTACGGTAACAAGGGACGTGATGGGACGATAGTTCTTCGCCAGTTGTCTGTCACCTTTTTTAAACACTGGCGTCCACTCTCCCATTCTCCACGCACAAGGCCATCGCCCCAGCTCGATACAGCTGTTGTAGAGAGTCATTAGAGTTATTGTAGAGAGTCATGGAGCCAGATAACTTGGGCGGTGAGACTTGAGTTGCTTCCCTGTGGAGCAAGCTGAGTGTATCTTTATCTCGTCTACCTTTGTTGACGATTAGAGTGCTCTTGGTGATACACTTGGCTACACCTCGTGTGCAACATTTTTGTTCTTACCACATTTTGACATCATCTGTGATTTGTTACTGAACAGATGCACGGCAAAATGGTATCTAAGTTATCTAAATGTTCCTCCAAAGCTACCCAGTGTTTCCTTGGTGCATTAGAATTTAGTTAGCCTGTGAAAAGGATGAAAATCTTTGTTTCAGTCTGGGAACCATTTCCTTTTCAAAAGAAAACCTTTCCCAGCTCAGAATTCTGATCAGACTGACCTTTTTAGAAATATATCGATACTCCAGTTGAATACAAGTACATGTATGTTTTAAAATCAAAGAGTATTTGAAGAGGAAAGCCTGAGACTATCCCCGCGAAAAGAGCCGCCTATCTGGGCTCAACACTAATGGCAGCCAACTAGCCACAGAATGGTAGAAATTCAGTTTTGGCTGGTGGTTTTCCACTTTCATCAGCCAGTTTAGCTGGTAAAAAACTGAAATTGTCATAACATCTAGGTTGTCATTAGCCCCTTGGGTAGTAAGTTGAAAAGTTAGTGTTGAAACCTGCTTATGTTTTGGACACGGCTCTACTTTGTGATTCTATAACAGTTTTTTCATAATGATGCAATGTTTTTTAAATTTTCTCTCCTTTAAGCAACCGCTGTTCGAATCGTTTACGATGTAAGGGACCAAGGCCCCTTTGAAGTTCAGGTACTTGAAAAATTGTCATGTTTTGTAGTTCTAACAAGTGACTACCCACTTGATGGTATCAGTCACTCAGATGACAGAGACTTGTTTCGCAGAACAAATAGTTGTACAACATTTGGTGTAAATGAAAGTCTTTTTGGAATAATTTTTTCTAGTGATTAAAAATTGAAAATTAATGTGCAATTGAGGACCTGTAACGTATGGAATAACTTGCAATTTGTTTTTTCAACGAACTTTGTTTATTTGCCTTTTGATTGACCCAAGAATGATTTTTTAACTGAAGCCCGTAATATCAGATCGTTGAGGTCTTTTTCGAGGGTGACATGGTAATTGTTTCCAATTGGCTTGCGTAGTCTGTATATTCCCACAATAACTACAACGTGTCGACCAAATTTGGACTGAATTACCAGAGACTCGATCGTGGTAAATTTCCTTGGCAATCCCAGCCGTTTGGAAGGTAGTTTCTCTGAAATATACGCCATTACGCCACCTCCTCCTTTTTTTGGATCGTTCCTGAATATATTATAGCCATTCTGTGCAAACTGCGAATCCGGATATGTGCTATCGATCTTGGTCTCGGTGAGGANGGATCTAGAAACAGTTGTCGAATTTCAATTTGTCATATGCTGCAGTGCCTACCAAAAGTATTATTGAACAATTTTAAAATGACACACTACATTGTACATTGTTGAGATTAGAGGATGTAAAGTATGTATGAGCTCATTTGCCAATTTCAAATGATAGACTTTATCCCAAGAGTGTCATCATCCAGTCATTTAACTCCACACAAAGAATATGACAAGGAGGATTGAGAGAAGGGTAGCCACATGGGTACTGATACTGTATATCATCAAAAGCAACGAAAAAATTCCTCACCAACTCTTATCCACTTTCTGGGTTCAAGTTCTCCATGATGACATTGTTGATAGAGTGGATCTGGGTGATTAACATGTTTATTACTGACATGGCGCATAAATGAATTCCATTTGGCAATGATAAGAGACTCAAAGCCAGCTTTTGTTGAAGTCGCACACCAGTACATATGTCTACGTATTCCTTTCATCCAATATTTGATTATTTCACATCCTTTCTCTTTACTTAAACTCAATAACTTCTTAGTTAATGATCTTGCCACATGCCAAATATCATAGTAATGCCTGGTATTGATACAGTTCTCTCAAATCCGCTTTGCTGTGCCCCTGTGCCGGTCAGACACAAAAATACCAATTGTCAGACCAAGACGCTGCAAATAGGAAAAACATCTCTTTGCCCCCTCAAGTTCCGTCTGTTGGCTGCCACCAGCTTCATTTGCCTGAGTAATAAAATGAGAAATATAAGGGAATGAAAGTTTACTCATTACAATTATAATTGTAACTTTCATGTTAATCTTGTTTGAAACAAATATAACTCCCACTGATAATAAATAATAATCTAGTAACTGGGAATGTACTACCAGTTAGAATACCCCTGAAAATAGCATCGTAATAATAATCTAAAGCAATACAATAATATCATGCAATGTCATTAATATTTTTTACATTTTCTAATAACACTTAATGATGATTTATTCTTCCAAAAAGAACTTGCCTTACCTGAACTAATTCAAAGTGGACGATTTTCAAGATTGTGGTGCAGAACATTGTGTAGACCCCATATTTGGCAGAGTGCCCCACTCAATCAAACCGTCCATCCCCAGTCCAAGCAACATTTTTTAACTTTCTGATCTTGCTGATGAGATTGGCTTGGTATGTTTCCCAGTGATGAAGAACAACTGGAACTAGGAATGACTTCTGGTGCCTAAAATAGGTACGGGCAGAGAATACATGGAGCCCGATGTGGCGGAAAACCAGCAATAACTTGTTTATAGATGCTCCAGCCATCAAGACTGCAAAGCTCAACAAGATATTGCCAGCAGGATATTTTCCAAGTACAGTAGGCTGGGATTTCCAGATGTAGTTATCATGGCATTTTGAACAGCTCTGTGTTACTGTAACGATGGTGCCATCTTGCTTCATCGTTGCTGTAGGACTACTTTCTTTACACTTGAAGCAGAAAAGTGTGAAAATATGAAGCACCATGCTGTAAAATACAATGAACTTGGGTTCATCATATTCAGGGGTATCTGAATCAACTCTGCGAAATAAAAGGCATGGCTGAGTCCTTTCAATAATATACTCAAGTTACATAATGAATTATTGTGAAATGGAACAAACAATGAACTCAGACTCATACCCAGTAGCTACTAATCTGTTTTGAGGGTGAGAGAAGATTGGATATGAGAGTGAATTGATGAACATGAGGAGTTATGGATGGGAAAAAGGGCTTTTTTCCCTTTGTCCTTTCCCATAACTCCCTAAGTGCCTCAATCCACTCATGTAAGTGGTATAATTCCAATGAAAGCTACAATAGTAGTCTCACCTGATATCTTTTTCCATGCTTTCTTCGGAGAGATTCTCTTCCTCTTCATCATCTTCAGTACCTTAAGCTTCTGTGGAACCTCCTGCCTGTGACCTCCAGTCCCCATCCTCATTCTCTGTTGCCATATCTGTATCAGTCCCAGTGCTTGACCAGAGAAAGAAATCTTTGGACCCACTTTCCTCCTGCATATCAATTTCCCCTTCAGACGCTGTTTCAATTACTTCCTATAATAACAAACAAACAAGAAGGAATAAATTATCAGGTACTAGTGAGAGTGAGTAAGACTAGGAACACTTGAACCAAGTTCAATATGGATACTATTCTTTCGCCGTTATACAAAGCTACAAGAAAGCATAAATAGGTTTTGTTTAGGGCTCACACTTTTGAGCTCTCTTATCTCCTTTTTCTGTTCCTTTACTATTCTCCTTAGACGCATAGTTTGCTTCGTCTGATTTTTGAATTTGGATTTATATACACAATCTACACAAGAGCTGCCTTGCAATGGTGTTACGTTGGGGGATGGAGTGGTGAAAGAAACAAGTGTTGTATTGACTGGCGTAGCACAGGTATTGTTGGTGGAGGTCAAGGCAACTGGAGAAGTGAAAGGAGTGGTAACAGAAGCAGTAGCAGTTGAGGCATTGGTGTTGGAGGAACTTTCATCAATTGGGCTCATGCACACATCAGTTACGATGTTGCACGGATTCTCTTCATTTGTATCATCATCATGATCATCTACAAGGTTACTCATTGATTCTTCCCTGGCCTCATCAACCTTCTTTTTCTTCGCCTCCAACTAATGAAACTCTGCAAAGGCATCACGCCTTAGCTGCAGCAAAAACATAAAATATCCTGGTTGATAAAATATATCGAGCACAAGACACCCTTGCTTTTGCTAAGATTATGTGTAGGATTCGAAACGATCACAAAGCTTGTATAAATCAATACTCAAAACTCCAGTGAACATGTTGATGATTCACTAAGGTATAGGTTTTAGCAGTTCAGTTTGCTTTCAGCACGGCAAAACCGCAATTAGACACGGACATTTTACACATAAATGCTTCCAAAAGAATAGGTTATTTACATCAGAAAAACTTACACATGTTAATGTTTATGATCGGAGATCACGAGAAAACGCTTACCTGTCGCCTTTTGCGATCTGTCAGAACTTCAGGACCTTCTGGTAGAACTGCATGTCTTGTTGGAACAGAGCCCTTGATAAGAACTTTGTTCCGTTTTATCTGCGTCATACCGTCCAGCGAAAATGCCAAGCTGCCCTCGTAACAACTTTGCTCAAAGTGAGCCGAACACAACGAGGCATGTTTGGCAACAGGTTCGCCGAAATCAACTCGGTGCCGCTGCACGAATTTCACCCATTGGGCTCTCACTGTTGGATTTACAGGAAACTGGTGCATCGAAATACCTGGTGTGTAGCTGGTA